ATTTTTAGTAGAAATGGGGTTTCACCATGTTAGCCAGGCTGGTCTCAAACTCCTGACCTCAGGTGATCCGCCCGCCTCGGCCTCCCAAAGTGCTGGGATTACAGCTTTGGAGCCACCGTGCCTGGCCAGATCTCATCTTTTGACAATGGGACCAGCTCATTTTGCTAACCCCAACTTGAAGATCCTCGCAAGCCTTGCAGTTTCATTTATATCCTAAATTTTATATTTCATCAGGAAGTCAAGACCTAGTACCAGTACCTCACACGCAGACTTTACCTGCCTCTCAGGAATGAGGTGTCTTCTCAGTTATTTCCCTGAAAAACAGAACAGTAATATTGTTACTGCATGTTCTCTCGAGGACTGAAGGCCGCAGCCTGTATGTTTTCAGTTCGCCTCGTTGTTACGTGGGTAGTCCTCTTTACGTTCTTTATCTTTCTGTTACAAGGTTTAACTTCTCTAAATTTTTTTTTTCTTTACCAAAACCCTTTTCCAAAGCTAAGAACGTGGAATGACTTCAGTTCGCAATATTTTTATAGCTTTAGGTTGAAAACGTGTAGTCTACTCAATCTTCTATTCCATTAGATACTCTCTTATGATATCCTTAATTTTTTTTAACCATAAATGTAATCAGTCATTTCCTTTCAATGTGGATTTTATGGCTTTTCTGTAATTACCTTTCAGATATTTTTGCATTCTTTCAGTTCTGAAATTTGATCTTTTGTTTTCTGAGTCATAGATAACTAATTATTTAGTGGTTTTGAACTTAGCACCTATGAGATTTTGTGCAAATTACTTAACCTTTGCTTCAGTTTCCTCTTCCTGTAAAATGTTGATAATAATAGTCCCTAACTCAGAGAGTTAAATGAGCTAATGCACTCAAAGAGCACTCAGAGCCTGACCCGCCGTTAGTATCGTCCATGGTGGCATGGGGGTGCTCCTGTGCCTTGCAGTGCTAGTAGAACAGCAGGGAGCAGGTGCCAGGCAGTAGGGCAGCGAAGAATAGATCTGTCTCTGGGCTCAGGGTGCTGCCTCTGGGTACTCAGGGAGAAGACCTGTCATGTGTGCCTGCCGGGCCTCCTTTCACTGTCCCCATATTCTCCCTCTTTGCTCCTTTTGCTGCCCCATTGCTTCTGCTAGTTTCCCTTTCTTTGCCACTGAAAGTGTAGAGAAAACCAGTACTGAAACTAAGCAGAATTTTATATCATTTTTTGTTGGAGATTGCCCTTTTTGTTTTTTTTGAGACAGAGTCTCACTCTGCTGCCCAGGCTGGAGTGAAGTGGCAGGATCTTGGCTCACTGTAACCTCCGGCTCCCGGGTTTAAGCAATTCTTGTGCCTCAGCCTCCCAAGTAGCTTGGATTACAGGCATGCACCACCATGCCCTGCTAATTTTTGTATTTTTAGTAGAGAAGGGGCTTCACCATGATGGCCGGGCTGGACATGAACTCCTGACCTCAGGTGATCCACCCATTTCAGCCTGCCAAAGTGCTGGGATTACAGGTGTGAGCCACTGCACCCGGCCAGAGATTGACGTTTTAAAGTAATGTAACAAGTTTAGTAACAAGTGATAAGTAGAATTTTCAGCTCTTAACATCTGTCCAGTCTCTGTGCATATGAGCCAGGTTTCCCAGCATAGCCCAGATCTCATAAGTACATGCGTCAGGGGAGCAATTCAGGCAGGTAGACCTTGCGTCTGCCCTGCTACACGGTAGGTCCTTGGTAGAAGAAATGTAGGAGGGTGTATGTGTTTTCTTGCCCTCTCTAGCTTCTGCATATACCAGGAAGAATTAAATAGAGTGATAGAGAAAAGTCAGAGGAAATTTTAGGATATTTTTCAGTTGAATATTCTGTTCACTGCAGATTTTGTTTTTGTGTTTTATTTTCCTGTATTTGCCCCCAGATGAAATGCTGGTTAGATACTTTCCCAAGTGTCTAATCTGTAAGAAATCCTGTTTTCCTTAGAAAATTTTCACCTAGCTTTCTCTGGAGTGGAAAAAGTCTAAATGTATTTTTTTTCTCATTGAGTCTAATGAAAGTATAGATTTGCACCTCCAGGTAACAGTATTGCAACAAATGTGGGGAATTCGTCTCAACATAATTAAGGATAAATTAGAGCCAGATATTCCAGCAATGTCTTATTCTGAATTTTGCCAACTGTAAAACTTGCACAGTGGAGAGCACTGTAGAAATTGGCCATGCCATTGTTCATTGACTTTTTAACAATAAGGTCTTTTCTTTTTAACTTACACAGGTTGGATGATCCTAAAATGTCTGAAACGGAGCGCCAGTCCATGGAAAGCGAGCGTGCAGACCACAGCCTGTTTGTCCAAGAGCTCCTTCTGTCCACTTTAGTGCGTGAAGAGAGATCATCCTCAGACAAGGATGATCGGGGGGAGATGGCAGATTTTGGTGCTATGGGCTGTGTAGATATTATGCCTTTAGATGTTGCTTTAGAAAACCTACATTTAAAAGAGAGTAATAAAGGACATGAGCCTCCACCACCTCCTCTTTGATGACATCCCAATTCGCAGACAATGTCCTCTGTGCTGTATTTGCCAATGAAAGTGGACAACAACTATCTTGGGTTTGTTTGGTGATTGTAATTTCAGGTCGGTCACTCTTGTTACATTGTGTACCTTCAAAAGGAAGAGAGAAAATATATATGATAATCATTTCCACTTAACTAATTTTTACTTCTAGCAAGTAAATGTAGGTAGCAGTGCAGGGGGGATCTCTGCTTCCTGTACCTTGACATGCAAAAGGCTCTCCTGATACTCCACATTCAAACTGAAGAGGAAAATTGAAATCTCGAATGAAGCTGCTGTGTGTACTTATGAATATTAATGAATAAAAACTGCTTGGATGGTTTACCTTAACTACTGCATGAGATTTTTTGCAGCGTGCATGAGTTTTAGTGACCTTGTTATTTAAAAAATTAAATACAAGGAGTAAAACTTAAAAAAAAAAAATACGAAGCCCAAAGCTTTCCCAAACATTATTCAACGGTTATACTATGAAGTAGCTTTTGAATAATGTCTGCCTGAATCACCTTTCTTTGTGTGCCTCCTAAGCACAAAGCCAGCTCTGCAGTGGAATCTGGGGATGGTAGCCGGGTGTGGCACTCCGCCCTGTGTGACTGTCCTGTCTCCCTGTTAGTCATCTTGCCTGTGTGGGGCTCAGCCTGTCTCTAACTCATCTGTAGAAGACACAGCAGTGAAGCTGCCGTTGGAAGCTGCTGCAGGGGCCTTTGTGTGCCCTAAAAACAAATCCTGCTCATGTTTGTTTACAGTTTTTACTTTTTGTGGTTGTTTAAAATTTTTTCAATTGTTAAGTATGTTTTATTCAGGTGTAGATGAATTTCATTTATTGACTGTTCAACAGAGTTAACCTGAATTATGTCGTCTTTGTTTTTAAAAATCTCACATTCTCGATCATATTTTGCGTTATTTATGTATTTGCTTTGTAGTTTGCTGAGACAGATCAGTATCAGGGGAGTTTTGAGGATTTGCCTTCCCAGATGTGTCAATAGATTACAACCAAATTCTTAATGCTAATTTTAGCACCTTTTATTTATTGGGTTTTTTTTTCTGGCATAAAAAGTAAAGCCTTTTAATTGAATCATGCCACCTATATGCCTATATTATTAATCCTATGTGTAAAAAAAAGTACAGCTTTTTGGGGGTTTGTTTTGGGGTTTGGAAGGGCTGGGTTATTTTTGATTTCCTGTTTCGGTTTTTGTGCATAGACTTTCACAATAGCTCCAAGGCAGGGACAGCGGGTTTGGGGGTTGGGAGGGCAGTTTTTGGAATGTAAATTTAGGACTTTTAAAAAGGTGCGCACAGCTTCTGATAAATTTATAACCAGACTTAACCTAATCGTGTCTCATTCCAGTTCTGTTTTCTCTGAGCCCTTTCCTTAGTCTCCACTCTTTCTCCTGTCATCCTTTTCCTTTCCTGTCCGCGTATCTCCATTTCTTCAACATGACAAGCATACAGACTTGAACACCTTTCCGCTGTTCTTCCGAGAACTGTGAAGTCCATGTTCATCCAAATGTAACCGAAAAAGAAGTCACCCTACATGTCTGAAAAACTGTTGCTTCTCCTCTGAAACTTCAAAGTCCAATCATAGCTTTGTTTTCTTTAGTTTCTGTACTGGAAAATGTTTAAAGGAAAACTTCACACCAGGCTTCTGGTTACACTAGAAGTCAAGCCCAGGAGGGATTTTCATTTTTTTTCGATTGGTTGTTGAGAAGTTTCAAAAACCAGTTTTCAAGCTGTGGTCTTTCAAACACATCTGCACTAAGTCACACATTTCAATAAAGCATTTTCAAGACTGTTGACCACTTGAATTTCTTTGGTGTGGGTGGATTAACCTAACCATTACTCAGAGATTTTCTATCTCTAATCCAGTATTTTTTTTTCTTTGTATGCTAAACGTGGGAGATCCTGGTTTTGTGTGAATGCATTATTCTGGATGTGAGAAATTTTTAAACATGCCAATTATGTACTTTCCCTTTTCTGCACAAATTCTTGGAAAATGTAAGAGCCTTCATTTTTTAACATGGTTTTAGGGAACAACTGTAAGTCCATTCAGAGCAGTTTAATTTAGATGATCACTTGAACACTGCAGAAGACCTAAGGAGTCATAAGATTCCATCTCATGTAGAATCCTGTATATTAATTATTTTTACCAGATATTTTACAAACACCTCACCTCATCCTGTATGTAATCAATAATGTATTATTTTAGGGTAGAAAGACAGAGAATATCAATATAAAAATATATTCAAGCCCTTGAAATTCTTGTGTCCTTTTTCTTTAGTTTCTGGATCAAAATCTTATTACTGGATGTACTGTTGAATAAAAATTGCAAAGACTTTGATGTACAGGAGACAAAATCAAAATACACTACTGTTTATTTTGGCAGTACCTTCAAATTTCTAAGGACCAGACCCTGAATTTTGAGAAGTGTTTGTTTGGTTGAGTTTTGAGCGTCTAGGATATAAGTTTATAAATGTTCTACAGTGCTTGTCTTTACTTCCTGTTAAGAAATCATTTAAATCTTTCTCCACAAGGTGCTCTGGAAGAAGTTTAATTTCAACTCTGAACAAATAGAAATAACTGTGCTTTCTTGTATGGCTGCAATCATAAGATACAATTTCTATGGTTGGCTACCGTGAAATTATTGTATTTATATTGCATTGTTTTGTTTAAAACAAAAAAAAATCCACAGAAGTAGAACCTAGGTTTGCTACTAACAAAATAGTGGATTCTTCTAGTGAGGCTCAGGTAAAGTAAGAGAAAGCTTCTCTCCCTGTGGTCCCCAGAGAAATGAAGTTTAGGATAGCACATTACACTATTAGAAATAATAGATGTAACAACAAAAACCCTGTCCATTATCCCCACCCCTCATTTTCCCTCTCAATATTAGAAATTCCAATAATATACTGACAGATTTTCAAAGGTCACCAAGGCTTTTGTGTTTTTTCTCGTCTGTGGGCCACAATTAGAGAACAGCTAACAGGTCCAGAGTTCTCTTGATAGGTCCAAGCCTTAGTTTACAGAAAAAAGCTAGGCTCCTCACTGCAAATATTAATACTTGATACACTTTACTCGATGGATCTTGGGGTGAGCACACATGTCAATAGTTCATAGCTCCAGTTAAGGACAAATAAAGCGGGGTTGGGAGTAGGAGGAGAACACTCTACAGAGAGGTTAGGGTAGCAGGTGACTGGAGAAAAGGATCTTTTGAATGGGATTCCTGTAACAGTGTTCAGTACCAATGTTAAGTCTACTGTAAGTGGGGTCTAATATGGCTTACTGATACAGGCATGTGTGACAAACTAAGTGTGATGGAGGAATGCGTGCTAAAAGCTCTAACAGTTTTGTAGAGAAGCCCTGCAGCAATGTTTCTATGACATGCCTGTTTCTTAATTATTTGCATGCACAGTTTAAGGGGTACATGCAATATTGGTTTCATGTGCAGTAAAAACATAGCTGAGTGCGGTGGCTCACGCCTGTAATCCCAGCACTTTGAGAGGCCAAGGGAGTTCAAGACCAGCTTCGCCAACATAGTGAAACCCCGTCTCTACTAAAAAACACAAAAAATTAGCTGCGCTTGGTGGCGGGCACCTGTCATCCCAGTTACTTGGGAGGCTGAGGCAGGAGAATCACTTGAACCTGGGAGGTGGAGGTTGCAGTGAGCCGAGATAACGCCATTGCACTCCATCCTGGGTGACAGTGCGAGACTCCATCTCAAAAAAAAAAAAAAATTAAAATACTGGGTACGAAATTTTCCCAGAATTACATGCAAAAGTTGGTGTTTATGCTGGAAAAAGGTAACAGTTATCTGTGCTCTTTCTAAAGCTCAACTAAACACTAAAACAGTTCCCTCCTTGAGACTGGAGGTAGGATGGCAGTTGGCAGGGTGAAGGGAAGAGGTTGGGGAGGAGTCTCTCATAACATTTCATCCCCAGTAGCAACTGAAGCCCTATGTCTGGCCTGGAGTGGATAGAGGTTAGGGTTAGAGTGCAGGATGGAGCAGCAGTCTGCAGACTTTCAGGTTGAGACAGTGTAATGAAATTCCGTGCTATTAAACATGGCTATGTCTGAGTTAGTCATTACAGTATTCCAAAGCCAAATTCAAGTGACTGTTTTTCAGAATAGTGTAAAAATTAATTCCCTGTGCTCATCGGCTTCAACCATGCAGACGCAACATTTGTTTCTAATTAGTACTCTTGCCTCTTGGTTTCTCTAGTTTTTCAACTCATTTCTGTCAGTGTTCTATAAATGCAAACATTCATTACTTAAGGAACCCTGCAGCAGACCTCGAATAAGATGTGACTTGATGTTTGTTGCCACTTCCTCAACTTGGTTAGCAAATTCAAGTTTTGAAAGATGATTCATCTCAGAGAAGTTGATCCTGAACCTCCACATCACATTTTAGTTGGTGGCTATCAGGTGGGTAATGTCTAACGTGGGTTCCTCGAATCACAAAGGAGAATGCTCTCAAGTCCTCACGTTAACTTTAGTAAGTTACCTTTACGGCAACTTTACGGCAACTAAAGAGATCAATTAAAAAGAACCCTTAAGCCGGGCGCAGTGGCTCAAGCCTGTAATCCCAGCACTTTGGGAGGC